TACTCAACACTAGAAGTGAAAAGAAGTGCTTATAAGGATCAAAGTGAATTTATACTGGAGTACATGTCTTTCAACTTATTTTAATGTTTTTTCTTGAATTGATTTCACATAAATGTACTTTTATATAAAATATGAGTACTATAACTAAACTTGTGCTGCAGTTATGAAATCTATATTCAAAATAGGTTTATTATATTTTTGAAACCTTACTTTGAATTGGAAATGTTTTGAGCATGCTACTTGTGTATTCACATGGGATAGGATACCTTGGGAGTCATTCACTATCCAAACGAAATTTGGCTATTTGGAAGTGGCACTTTTTAGATAAACCTTACTTGTACGTGGAAATTTCTATCTTACTATAGTAAATAAGTGGTGTAACTTGGTACCTAGTAGAATGAGTTAGGTGTGTGTCATATGTGCTTACTGTTTACACATGCTCGATTATTCCTCCATTTGTATTCAATCTGGGAATGTAAAGTGTGCTACATGCATGATTTTTACATATGCTTGATGATGATTTTAGATCTTTATATTAACTTGGGATCGGGAATAGAAGCATACATTGATGGCTTATTTTGTGGAATTATTCCATTTTGTATCATTTGGAATTTAAATTATGGTGGTATGTACCATTGACTTTAGAATTACTGAAACATATTTTGGGGAATTTGACTTTGAGGTTGGATGATCGCCATCATCAAATACTCTTTAAGAGTCGATCTCGGGTATACTTAGTAGGCTTTCCAAGGCTAACAGTTGTACTTTGACATATACTCAGATTAACATTCCGGATAAAGACCACAATGAGAAGATCATGTACATTTAGAATATATTGTTTTGTAATGCCGATACTTGACTTATGTTTTGGTGTTAATTGTTACGTTCCTTACATTTTGGAACAAACAAGTGTTTATCTGGACTTTAGGACCTAATTTCCACTCAAATTAAACTTTTGAACTTTATGAGACATTTAAATTTGGCTTTTATATTTTCAAATAGCTCCCACAAGAGATGTTTAAATTTCTTAGAGACAAGTATCAACAATAACAACAATGACTTTTCTTGAAGCAACATCAACATACAACTCATCTCATCCATAACATGCAATGATCATTGTCCCATAGACAACTTATCTACCTTAGTTCAAAATCGTAATTGATGCACCCTGTTTGGATCTCCAATGTTTTATTATTTCCAACAATTCTAAATATTCCTTGTATGTTATGTCGATGAAACATCCCAAAAATACGGTCCAAAAATTTCGCTTTTGATTCATTAATAAAACCATAAATAACATCATCAGATAAATATCAGAAAATATGTGTCTAAAAAACATATCATCGACTATCAAAATATCATAATGTCATCTCAAATATCAGAGTAAATATCCCAGACTATAGAATGTGGTGTGAGCCATGCGATCATCCCGAGCCCTTCCCTTTGCTAGCAGAAGTACCTAAAACCAAAACTAAAAACCATAAGCATGAAACTTAGTGAGCTCCCCCAAACTACCACATACAATACACATAACATATAACAAATAACATAACTTTGGGACTACTCCCAGCTGCATCGGGAAGAACCCTGTATCGGCTTACCCGACATCAGACTCCTGTCCGGTATCGGGCTCACCTGGCATCATACCACGTCTGGCATCGGGCCCCGCCCAACATCAGGCTTGCCCCGGCATACACATAGCATATATCGGGCTTACCCCGACATCGGACCTAAGTCCGAAACACATAACACATATCATATAAACTAGCATACATCGGGCTTACCCCGACATCAGACCTAGGCCTATAACACAAAACAAATAACATGCATGAATCATAAATACATCAAGCATACATAACTACTTCTCGGGACCGCCCCGACATCGGACCGAAGTCCGAAACACATATTTTACATTGAGCTAGCCCCGACATCGGACCGAAGTCCGGCACATACTAACATACATAAACGGGACGACATTGGTGCCTTCGACCCGTTCCTACTGAAGGAAGACTTACCTCTCAATCTAACTGCTGAAAACTCATGCGAGGGTATCTCTGACAGTTGCTCCAACGACTCCCCGGCTATCATGACCAAAATAAACACTTAGTCAAAAACTAAGAATCCTTCTAAGGGTAAAATGACTATTTTACCCCTTGATCTAAATTGGACCATGACCTAGGCCCAATTCCTTCTAGTCTTTCCAAACTCACTAAGTCCCATTCCCTCTAATGGCCTAATTTTTAAAATTAGGCCCAACTCCTCAAATGGGCTTTCCACCCAAGCCTAAACGTGTCCTTGGTCCATTAACTGACTCCTGGTGGCCCATTTCGGCCCAACATATGCTAAGCCCAAAGATTGGCTCAAACCGATGCCCAATGTCGTAAAGCCCAAAATCTGAGAGTACGATGAGCATACTCTTCTATATGCCATGCGTACCATTTGCATGGCTTGTACGCTGCGCGTACTAGCGTTTACGCCCAACGTACTACTCTGTTAAGCCATTTTCTTCAAACCCCCTTAAGACACTACGTCTAAACTACAAATCTGAGTCCAATAATCCTTCTTAACCCATAAAAATCCAAATGGGCCTTAAAGATTGAAACTTTACTGCTTAAGGGACACTTTTAGCTCTGAGGGTGGCAACCCTAAGCTTACAAACGAAATTTCATCATAAAAATCCAATCTTTGGACCTAAAAAGGTACAAAGATCCATAAACCTAGATCTAAGCTTTTATGAAGAAAATCGGAAGCTTTATACCTCCTTTGAGTGCCAAAAGATTAGATAATCCGAGATCCTTGAGCTCAAGATACTCAAGTTCTTCTTCTCCAACTTCTATTCTCTTCTTCCAAACTCTTCTTCACCAAACTAAGCTTCAAAAGGCAAAAAAACACACACACACACACACACACACAAGAATGGAGTGAGAGAGGATATTTAGGGTTTCTGAGGGTGAGGGCTGGTAAGGAGGCCATGGTTGAGTTATAATGAGGTATTTATCTGACTTAAACCCTAAAAATTAGGGTTTTGGAATCTGCTCACATATGATGCATGTACTCCTTGGTACGTTGTGCGTTCGTGCATGCATCCTCCGTATCTAATGTGCCTCTATGCCCATCGTACGACTTATGGGCGGCCCAAGTCCTCTGCCCACTTGCTAAAGTCCACTCCTTTAATCCTTCTATCTACATTTAGCCCAACAAATAAATTAAGAAATATTTAATAAATAATACCTCAATGACGGTCGTTACAATCGACCTCATCTCATATGGGTTTATCTTAATTAATCACAACTTGTATATCATACTGTTATGTCGACCTCCTCTCATATGGGTTTATCTTCATTAATCACAACTTGTATATCATACTGATATGCACCCTCTTTGGATCTCTAATGTTTTATTATTTCCAACAATTCTAACTATTCCTTGTATTGTATCAAACCATTATATCGACCTCCTCTTAGATGGGTTTATCTTCGTTAATCACAACTTATATATCATCTTCCTTAGGCCATCTCCAATGGTAGTTTAATGGAGAGTTGAATGGGGAGTTTAATCCCATTAAACTCAAAATCCCCATTGTGGGTTAATGACATGGCACTCAATAGAATGGGGAGTTCAATCCCCATTGAACTCCACACTCTCTCTCCTCACACACATACATAAATGATGTGGCAATCCATTAAATTGTATTGGGTTTAATAGAGTGTAGAGTTTAATAGATAAAATTATACTGTGAGTGGCATGTACATGTGACAATCCATTGAACTCATTTGAGTTCAATGTATTGAAGATGGCCTTACATATCTTGTATTATGGCACATCTTATCAGACGTCACCCTATTTTTCACCATTCTACATATCTTTTTAGTATGTCTATTTTTATTGTGATTGATAATGGTGCGTCTATGTCATTAGAAGGTGTTCGTTTTGTTGTTACCCTTTATGTGTCTCTTTCTAGTATTTGCTTTATTCTTTGTCTTCCTCTAAATCATGCTATCATGATTCAGTTATGATAATGTGGTTACTTAACTTACTTTTAATCTTCCTTTTGTTATGTATATGATTTTAGAAGGTAATTGGGACAAGCGGTAGGCAAGGGGGGCTCTATATTGTGGATGAACTCAAAGCATATATCGTTAATTTTGGATGGTCGCAAATCAAGACACTTTGGCATTAATCTTCTCGAGGGGTCAAAGACAAACTCTACCAGAAGCATAATTTCTTCTTTGATAACTAGAATACTTTACTTCTCTTGATCACAATTAATATATCTTGATCACTTCAAACACTAGCGCAACCCAATTAGAAGGTTATATAATATGAGAGAATTGGGTTCAATGTTTAATTGTTTTAATGAAAAAAAAGTAAAGGACAAGTGGAGCACAGCATCACAACATCAAACACATGCACCAACACCAACCAACGTTAGAAAAAAACATAACATTTACGACAAATTGTTGAGATTAGCAGTGGACACTGGACACGTATAATTTAGCGACAAAGTAGAGACGGTCCTATACCAAAATATAAGTATATAATTAAATTATTATTAATATTGAACAAGCAAACAAAAAATTATATAACTGACAAAAGATAACATCAAACTTAATGCCAATGAATAATATAAGACTATATTCAGTTATAGCATTTATAACATCAAAATTGATGTTGGTAGAAAATGATGTTGATTTGGAACTCATTTACAGTTTTACACTAAAAATTGTGTTAGCATAAAGCAATGGTGTAAACTTCTAAATTTTAGAATCATTTATGTATTTTCACACTTTTTTTCATTTTTTCTTTTCTTAATTATCAGCAATTGAGGAGCCAGTGAAATACTACTACGACAAATCCGTTCTTGATATGAATTATGAAACATCAACTACTACAAGATGAAGGTATATTAATTAATTCAGTATTAATCTCTTGCTACAAACCAAATCTCAAATTTTACACGCATATATACCATATACGGCAATTCTATCAACCAGTTTAATTCAGCATTCAGCCCAGCCCTCCTCCACAGACTCCTGATCATGTTGCTGGCCTCGCCGATGTTTCATCATCTTCAACATGCTCGCAAGTTTTGATTCCGCCACCAAAATCGACCTCGCCGGCACACCGGAGATCTCCTCTAACTTGCTCAGTAAGCTACGCATTCTTATCCTCTTCTTCTCATCGTCCTTTGTACATCTCATCATTCCCAGCCAAAGGGAAGCGGCCAACCCCACCCGATACGGCCATACCCACCTATACGCCAACCACGATTCAAAAGCAAGTCTCGCCACCTCTCTTACGCCACCACTAACCCCGAGCCTCGTACACCAATTCACCAGCAAATCCCTCGTCTTCCAGTCGGAAACCACCGTCGTCATCTTGGTGGAGCAGTTGTTACCCGAGATACAAGAGGAAGATGCAGATGAAGATGAAGATGAAGATGAAGATGAAGAGGAGGAATTCATGTCATGGAAGGATTTGCAGTGAGAGCAAAGGGAAAGACGGATGTGACGAGCAACGAGGAAGTTGGCGGCGTGAACATGAGAATCGCAGTCGGAGCAAAGGAAAGCGGAGTCGGAAGAACAGTAGAAAGAAGGTTGTTGCTGATGGCAGAGATCACACAGTGTAGGTGTTAGTTTCATGGTTAAATTTTCAAAGAAGAAGATCAAGTTAGAGTATATGAAGATGCATGGAGGTTTACAGGTATATATATTGATGGAGAAGAGAAGAATGGTAAGAAAAGGAGGCGAGAGAGGCGGAGAAACTGGTGGTTGCCAGACCCCAAGTACAACTATAATAATACCAACGTGTGTGGTTCATATTTTTGCTCATGTGACCTCCATTCCTCCAATAATTCATACACTCTTTAAATAAAATTGCTTATCTTTTTAATATATTTATTAATCTATATGTAATAAAACTGTCTTTTTTATGCTAATGCCACATGCTGCCTACATCCACAAATAGGAATTAGAGTTTGCATGTGTTTTCTATGGATATCTTTTGTTCAATGTGTTTAGCATGTGATGAATTAAAAACAAGAACGTATACCGAATACATTAAAATTCATACACCATGTTTTTTATGAAATAATAATACTCAAAGATTTGGTATAATTTTATTTAAGTGTTGTGTGAGTTTATAAAAATTAACAAAAATTAAAAAAAAAAGGCTTTAGTACTTTGGGTTATTTAACAAAAATATCTTATGGTGAACGTGGGTCCGTTGACGGAGACCACCATGAATCTTGACGGACGAGAGGAGTTGAAGTGGGCCATGTGGCAAGAAGGAAAGGAGACACGTGTCGTACTAAGAAATGGTCGATATCATCAGATACGCATAGGATTATTGTAAGCAAACCCACCAACCACACAATTACTTTGCAACCATCCACCATGCAAATATGTAGGAAGCAATCAATAACTTTCTTTCCAAAATCAGGTATTCTATATTTAAAAGTAAATTGTGTGAAACTTTACCATTTTTATTCAAAATAAATATAGTTTTTTTTATTTATAAGAACGATCCAATCATATTCTTTTTTTGTTTATATGGTATAAAACCTAACTAGTTCATGTTGTTGATGTGGCATAGTTGTTGCCACATTTTTTAATTTTTTTAAGATAAAACTGCAAATTTGGTCCTTGTGGTTTTCAAAAACCTTTGGATAGGGTCCAAAAAGTTTCCAGCTTGCATGGAAGGTCCAAAATCAAGGTTTTTTTGGGTTTTTGGTCCAAAAAAACTTAAAAAGAAGATTATGCCCTTTTATTTTCTTTTTTGTATTTTTTATAATTATTCTAATGATGTTTTAATTAAAAAATAAAGAAAAAAGAAAAAAAAGTATCCCCACCCCCCCCCCCCCCCCTCTCTCTCTCTCTCTCTCTTCGTCTTCTCAAAAATCTCATCTGCGTTTTTTATCATCATCCCAATCGGCCCTTTTGCGATTATGATGGTTGTTTATTTGGAAATCTATGAAGAATACGGAGGATGTAGATGGAATTTTTGTCCCTGTTAAATCCTACGATCTACCATGGTTTCTCTTCAAGAATCTCCCAAATCATCTTCTTCTTCTACGTCTTTTAATTAACATGATTACAACAAGATAGTTTCGCTGATAAACAGATAGAAAGCTTGAGAGATAGTGACAGACCATAGTTTCTTCACCATTGTCATCTCACCTCCTACATGCCCTTTTTCACTATCATCACCACTGAACATCCTCTCCGATTGAGGTACTGAGGAAAAGGAAGAAAAGCTTGAGACATTGTGACGAGCCCTAATTTTTGACCAGTTCTTAAGAACCCTAATTTCATGGATCAGACTTGTTCACATCGACCTCAGGGATGATGGATGCCGGCAAAGGGCAAGACTGGGCCTTGCGCTTCAAGTATTGTACCACAAGTTCTTCATCCGTCGGGTGGAACCTGAACCCAGGTGGCAGTCTCAGGACACCGTTTTTCACAAAATTCAGCTTCTCCATCTCTCGATACTAATTTCACCAACGAATTAAATCAAAAAACACTACAACCTTTGATCGATTAACCCAATTTACATCTTGAAAATCCCATTTGAAATCGACTAGAATCGAACAAGGAGAAGAAGGGAGGAGGAGGAGTAAATAGGAATGGGTATGTGAACAAGTCTTGAATAAATCGCAACCAGACCATCATCAACCTTCGTCTTCATAGTAAAACATAGGTGCATCCCTTACGCAGGTCCGTTCATCGGAGAGCCATAAAACAACCACCACTACTGTAACACTACCGACGATTTGATGGAGCCAAAACACCACAACGATCGTTCATACAGATGGATTGAAAATCGATTGTTTTTAGAGATTGAGATACACATGGGGGTTTTGAGATATCGATTCTCTATATGTGTTAGTTTTGTCGGAGAGCTCAAGAGATGTGTGTGTGTGTGTCTTAAGGCGTGTTGGTTCAGAGAGAGAGAGAGAGAGAGAGAGAGAGGGTGGGGATACTTTTTTTTCTTTTTTCTTTATTTTTTAATTAAAACATCATTAGAATAATTATAAAAAATACAAAAAAGAAAATAAAAGGGCATAATCGTCTTTTTAAGTTTTTTTGGACCAAAAACTCAGAAAAACCTTGATTTTGGACCTTCCATGCAAGTTGGAAACTTTTTGGACCCCATCCAAAGGTTTTTGAAAACCACAAGGACCAAATTTGCAGTTTTGTCTTTTTTTAAATTCTAAACTTTTCTATATATGTAAAATTAACAATATTTTAAGAAATTGTATCCTTCTCCAACCTCCACCTTAACCGTCCCATTTTCCTTCTACATCCTTAAATCAGCCTTCGTTTTTTCTTTCTCTTGTAATGCCCTTCCAACAAACAACACTAACCCAAATCGAGTTCTCTAAAGTCACGTTAACTGGTATATTGTTGGCGACATCAAACCCCGAGCACGGAACGTTTTTATGTAAGAACATAATTAATATGTGAAGTGTTTCTTGGTTGTTTCTTGCTCTTTTCCATCATTTGATCAATTTATGATCAGCTTCTTAATGATGCTAAGTGTTGCAATTCGCGGTATATTTTCTAGAAGTGAATTGTATTGCAATTGTGGTACAATAAAAACATCAAGACAATGGGCCATTTGGCAAGAGCTATATACAGGCTACATACAAATAACAAGAAAAGTCTAACGTAAAGTGTAATATATATTAATATTTTCTTTCCGTTTGATCGTAGTTGAATTGAAGAGTGAACATTCAATTTGGAATGAAAATTAGTAAAAAGACAAGATGGAAGGCTTTTAGTTAAGGTATACCATAATCAAAAGAACAAAGTACATAAGAAAGTGAACATCTCCTGTTTGCTAATTTGTCTTGCACTAAGTAAATGTCAATCTTAGTATGATTGGTCCATTGATATTAAGCAAAGACCGGACAAAAGGTAAACACCATTGCATATTATTACGATAAGCTATTGCAGATTTTGATAATCAAAGAGCGAAAGCTCACAAAGAAGATGGTGAAGTCAACTTGTAGGGCCGATTCATTGTTTTTTACTACTCGGGCGAGAAAAATTTTATGCTCTTATATATGTACAATACGATACAGGAGACGTATGCATAAAAGATTTATAAAACAAAAGTGCAATAAATGTTAGAATCAAACAAATAATATAATAAAAAACCTACAAAAATCTCCTAAAATGATGTCTTTGTGTATTTTTTTTATGAGAAAACATCTCTTATTTTACAATATTCAATAGTTTATAAAAAATCACTTTCAATACTTAAAATTATTAATCCATTCAATTTTTCTTGAGACATTATTCTTCGGAGATAGGATTTCAAGAGCTTCAATTTTGAAAAAAAAAATCTACGGAATGACCCCTTAACAATATCTTCTATGCAATCAACACATTAAGGAACATATCCATTCTTCTTGCATACTCCATTATTTGATTAGATGTCCAAAGACTTTCACATTTATACGTTTTCATTCAACAATATTTTTCTGCAAAATTGGCAACTCAATAAATAAACTAATTACATCAACATTATATTTTTCATCGGTAGTTAAGTTTGGACTCAATATTTAAACAACATTTTTTTAATTCATTATCAACTAAGCAAATTTATTTGGAACTATCAAACAAAAAACCAAAAATAAATTCAAAATATTGCATTTCATCAAATTGTTTTTCTATTATAAATATGGTTTTTAGGAAATTCAAGATCATATTTGAGATATTCAAAATAAAATAAAATCAAAAGTTTGCTTCTTACTTGAGAACATATAACGAGCACCAATCACATACAAAAATTAGATACCTTGACTTTTGATTCTTGTTTACTCTAACCAAATAGATAAGAAATAAAAGTAATTTTTGAAACAAACCTAATGAATAGATTTCAAAATTGAACTCATCCACTCCTGATTGCTGAAGTAGGTATCGAGCATAAATAGAGGAGAAATCGGATTTCTGAAACAGCCAACAAAAACGAATCACACCCAAATTAGTGAATCACTAAAGAAGAAATAGAGAAGAATTAAAATTTCCAACAAACGTTAATAAACAGATTTTGAAATTGAACTCATGAACCGATCCCAATATGATTTATGAATCAGACAACAAAAACAAATCACATCTAAATTAGTGAATCGGTAAAGAAGAAATTGAGAAGAAATCAAATTTCCAACAAACCTTAATAAACAGATTTCGAAATTGAGCTCATGAACTAATCCAAATCCGATTTCTAAAACAGCAAAAAACGAATCGCACCCTAATCAATAAATCAGAATTTCATAATCAGCTTTCCTGTATCAGATTATAAAAAAATCAAACCTTCAAACCAGACCGGATAAAAGAAATCGTTGCTATATCGTCACCGTGAAGACTCAAGATTCAAGTGTGAAGTGTCAACCGATAAGAAATTGAGATTTGAGGATTGAGAGCTATGTATTATCGATTTATGGACTGAAGGTGAAAAATAGAGAAATTTGTTCTTAATTTTTATTTAAGGGAGACGTATTCTAGGTAGGAATTGATTTCTCCCATCGACATCAATGCCAAAGGGTCTCTAGGAGGCAGGAGCAACAGACGTTTGTTTTCTCTATGCGTGATTGATGATTATTTGTCACTTGCTTTCACCCAACTTTTTTTCTCAC